AAAATATGACGCGGTCGCGGCCGGCACTTCGTTTGCCGACAAGCTTTAGTTCGGACGCCTTCGACGATGATTGTAGTTCTCTGTGAGGTCGATCTGACGACTCGTTTTCGGTGAAAAGGCATGCGTTTGAAATATTACAGGGGTGATGGCGCCGAGAAGATCGTCCAGTTAGCACGGTCGGCGGAAAAACTCGATCGTCACCCAGCCGAGGACACTCGGGGTGACCAATCGACTCATTCTCACGGTCTCATTCTGCAGACAGATACTTCCCACTCTCAGAGAACACTCGCAGGTAACCAGTTTCGATTGCGTTCAGCAGTCAGTAGTCCTGTTCTCGTGCTGGATGCGATACAAGAACAATCCATTCGGGTCCTTCCCGGAAGGACCACATCGGAGGCCGCAGGAAAATCCGGCAGAAAGATCCGAAGGTTCTCAGACACGCACATACGAGCTCAAAGACCACATGTCATTGCATCAGGGCGCACATACTGAAATATTTGCACGTTAAAATTGCAGGGAAGGAGGAAACGTCGCTTGAACAGTTGGGCAAAAAGTCAAGGTGGTCCCTCGTTCTCGATCAGAGGCGAGCGGGCAGGGCGCTAGGTCACCCACAAGAGTTCGGATGGTTGGAGAAGCCACCTCGCACAGGACATCGGCACATATCGAGTCTTGGGTGGCCGAGGCAGCAGCGGCAAAGATGGGAGCCTGCACACTCGTCGACGTGCAATCTGTCGCACCGAGTTGAGTTTTGAGGTCGGGGCCGATTAAGAGGAGATCAAAGTCGAGCAGAGCAAGTCCCACCAAAAACGTCTGGAACTTCAATTGGAAAGAGTCAACGACCATTGTTCCGGGAGACGGACTGAAAACGGTTGCGAGCAGTGGGGAGTCCAAAGAGTCGAGTTGAGCGCAGTTGGGAAACTAAGGCTTGGTGGAGCGAATCAAACGTCAAACATGAGCGATAGTGCACACACTTGCAACACGAGGTGAGGAGGGAGGAAAGCACTTCAGGTTCAAGGCATGCACTGACCTTGCGGACGTACGCGCGCTTAGTGACTGCCAAACGACGTCGTCGACACATGCGAGGTGAGTGCATGAACAAGCGAGGCGAGAGGGGATGGAGCAGTCGCTGAGCGCTGTCCACAACCGAATGACCAGAGTCTGTACGAACGTGCATGTCGCAGAGGTGGGATGGCGATCGCACATATCCAGCTGGCCTAGCGAATTGCCGAGGTCGATTGAGAGTGCGAAGGATCGTCACGGCGCGAAGCCTGATTCGAGCGCCGAGTGGTCCGGAGAAGCCCCAGTCCTGACTGTATGGCTCACCGTGCACAACGGAGGATGGTCTTCGAGGAAGAGGTGGAGGAACGAGGTGGCATGCTGTGGCATGCTGTGGCAAATCTCGAGGGCTTTGCCGGAAAGTCGATTGGTCGGTGCGATCGACGACGTGGAAAATCAGTGTGCAAGTCCGGTCAACTTGAACGGCAAGGAGACGAGCGGGAATGTGGGATGTTGAGGTGCAATGGGTGAAACATAGACGCTCTGTGATTTTGGACGGATGACTTGACGAGCTGGATCACGAGGGCGGGCAGGTGAGTGATTCGCGGGGCAGCCGACACGGGGTGATACTGCTTGAGGCAATGCGGATCTCCCATCTCGACGGAATAGTGCTTGAGACTCGTCGTGGGATGTATCGAGGAAGGGTGATTTGCAACTCGAATGTAGGGCGTGCGAGGGAAGCTTCATTCGAGGAAGCGCTCCCATTCCGGGTTGTCCGTGGCCAACGACCTGCAGTACGCGGTGACACGGCATAGCTTGGTCTCATCAGCAAGGAGTGCAAGTCACAAGTGAGAACTCAGATCGAAACAGCTTACGGTGGGCGGTCTGAGCGAGTCGTCGGAGGTGAAGCAGTTCCGGTCGCGATGGCTCAAATGAGCAATTGACATAGCCCGGACGCAATTGTAGCTACCTTCGAGTTCGTTATCGAGTCGTTGGAAGCCGATTGGCGATGTTGAGGATGCTGCAGTTGCTGAATGGGTTCCGCATGCCTTAGCCGGTTCTGGGTGACACATCAAGTGCCGAGTCGAGTAAGGTCGAGCCGCATGTACCGAGCAAGTGACGTCTCACCATGACGGCAAAGCGTTGCATCGACGTGTCTTCGTGCAGTGAAAGAAAAGACGAGTCGAGTCAAGTGGTGCGATGAATCGGCGAATATCGAGTCTTGGGTGGCGGAGGCAGCAGCGGCAAAGAAAAGAGCTTGCACGCTCCTCAACGAGCGATCTATCGCACCGAGTTGAGTTTTGAGGTCAGGGTCGATCGAGAGGAGATTGAGGTCGAGCAAAGCAAGTTTCGCCGAAAAGATCTCGATTCTCAATCCGAAAGCGTCGACGCTCATTCATCCATGAGAGCTAGAAACGGTTTCGAGCGAGTCGGAGTTTAAAGAGTCGACTTAAGCGCAGGCCGGAATCTGAGACCTGGTGGAGCGAAAGAAAAGTCAAACATAAGCAAGAGTGCACACACTTTCAACACGAGGTGTGAAGAGAGGTAAGGACTTTAGGTTGAAGGGCCGCACTGACCTTTCGGATGTTTGCTCGCTTTGTGACTGCCAAACGAGTTCGTCGACGACTAGCGAGGTGAGTGCACGAAGCGAAGCGAGGGAGCGCCATGCGACGCCGATCGCAGTCCATCACCGCATGACCAGGGTTGCTGAAGCGTGTACGAATGTTCGACTTGCAGAGGTGGGATGGTGGTCGCCCGTATCAAGCTGGTCAAATGAATCGCCGAGATCGAATGTGAGTGCGCAGGATCGTCACGGTCCAACGCCGAAAACGAGCGCCGAATGGTGCAGAGAAGCCCGAGGCGTGACTGTATGGTTCAACGTGCGCAACGTAGAATGAAATTTGAGTAAAATGTGAACCGATGAGGCATTACGCGGCAAACATCGAGAGTTTCGCAGGAAGGTCGATTGGATGGTGCGATCGACGAGGTTGAAAGCCAGCGTGCAAGGCCGATCGAGTTTAATGGTGACCAGGGCGAGCGGGAGTGTGGGATATTTAGCACGAGATGTTGAGGCGTAGTGGCTTTGGACGGATGACTCGACGAGCTGGATAACGATCGCGGGAGGTTGAGTGATTTGCGGCGCGGTCGAGACGGGGTGAAAGTGCTTGAGCCGATGCAGGTCTCGAATCTCGACATCGACTAGATCAGTCGGGTCGTGCAACACATGTTCCGACAATCCCCGAGCTTGCCGCGTCGATGAATCTCTTCGCTTCAATCAAGAAGAAGATGCGAGGGATTGCATTCGTGTGATGGGTTGACGTTACGATGTGGGGGTGGCGGAGGAGATCGGAGTAGGTCGACAGTGCGTTCGGAGTGGAGCGACGAGAATCAAGTGATGTGTGCATCAATTCGAGACCTCAGCAAAGTTGAGCGTCTTTTCGATGGTGCTGATGAGGGATGCGCAGAGTATGGTCCTACAAGTCACAGAGCGGTTCGGTGCGAAGCTCGGACCAGCGAGTCGGCCAACACGCGATCCGAGCTAGAGTGATGCGCAGCAAAGATGATCACGAGGTGAGCAAATGAAGTAAGAGCTGACTACTATGTGGATGAAGAGCTCACCACATTGATCGGTCGAGTAGCGAGTGGGCGATCGGGGTGATCGAGGCGATGCGCTGACCGAGCACGTGTCCGACCGAGTACGCTCTAGCGATGCATCGACGTAAGCCAGCACGCTGCTGAAAGTGACCGCGCCCTCTTAGGTCGCAGTTTTAGTTGTATCGTGTTGAAGATGGCAGCGTTGGACTTGCTGTTAACCGTTTTGTGCGACGTCGCACCGTGCCCACCTCAGTCGGGTTGAGGTGACACGTCGAGCTGTAGTCGAGAGAGGTCGAGTTGCATCTTGCGGGTTGAATGGCGCATGTGACGATGGGAAACCATGTGTTGAGGCGTGGTGCGATCAGTGCCGAGTCGAGTCAGGTGGTGCGAGTGAGCAGTGAGTGGGGGGAGGGAAAGGGGCTTTGGCGCGCGCGAACGTGAAGTCGAGGAGCCAATCAGCTAATCGAGCACGCAAGATCCCAAAGTGATGTACCTAAAACCGCTGTTTTTGACTGGATTGCGGCCCTGTGGTGAATGGACCAGCATACTGCTGAGTCTGTCCAAGCCGCCTGTAGTATCGTCATCCCGGTGAGACGTCATGGACGAGCATTTCGGCATTTTCTGGACCATTAAAACCGCGCTACAGTCCGAGTACGATTTTTGTCAAGTTGCTCCGAGGTGCTGAGCGGTTTGTGTAGTATTTACAAGAGGGTGCGCGAGCATGACACATCTTCTACAGAGCCGGCAAGAAGAGACCGCTTCCATCTGACCTGCACACAAAGCACTGCAAGTCTAGTACCGCCCCACGCCTCGCCGCCAGCCCGACGATCTCCGACGATTTCCGAATGGGAATCTTATTTCGGATTCGATCTCACCGCGACCGGCAAGTACATAGACGGACATGGGATTGCGGTGGTACGGACGGTGGTACGGACACGAGATCTGCGGTACGGACATGAAAATTTCGAGTCATCATAAGGACTGTAATACACCTGCTATCATTTTCTCCTTGCAAATTCCAAGTGAGTCTACTCATATAAGTGTTCAACAGCATCTGATCCAGTTGTGTACCTAAAATCAAGTCGTACATTTGTGCTGGCCCGAGGACAAGAAGCAGTGGGCGGCGCGCCCCAAAGTCGTCGAGGCCACTAGTACATAATAACACAAATTAAGCGTGTACAAACCAGTTGGGATCGTGACATAGTCGCAATAAACTTATCAACGTCTACAAGTCCTCAAATCTGCCGCGGCTCAGCTCTAGCGATACGCAGAAGCCCGAAATGGAAATCCATTTCGGAGATCGCGCGCGCTCTCGGCCGAACGGTGCACGCGCGAGCTTCTTCGCAAGGGCCGGCCGCAACCGCGCCGGCCTCTCGCACGCGCGGGCGCGGCTGACCTCCTCTTCTCAGATGCCAAATGTTGCTCGTACGAGCCTCTTGGCAAGAATCGACCACTCTCAAAGCCCCAGCGAGTTGGCGGGCATCTGGCGGGAGCATTGGGCATTTGGTAATTGATAATTGCCCAAATATATAGGTCTCTCGCACGGGGTGTTGGGCCGTACATTGGAGTAGCTCTCAGGGGGCGCGAACAAAGGTTGGGCCAACAAGGCGACGGTGTATTTGAGGTGCTGACGGGGCCGAGGGCAGGAGCGAGCGAACAGGAGAAGGAGGTGGTGGCAACGATCGCGCTCGAAGCAAAGACAGCGAGGAACCTCAAGTCGCTATATGAGAAAACCCACAAAGCCGCTGGCCTTATATGGCCCGCGCTCAAGAGCACCCTCGACATTCGGATTTTCAAGGAGGCCAATCTGGCGGACACCCTGCAGTGCGGATCGGCTATGGCCTCGAAGGTGAGAAGCCCTCGGTTGGCCAGGCTTGGGCCATAGCCGATCCGCACTGCCAGGGCGTCCACAGAATTGGCCTCCTTGAAGATGCGAATATCGAGTGCTCTTGAGCGCGGGCCATATAAGGCCAGCGGCTGTGTTCGACTTGTCAGAGACGATGTCAGGTTTCTCGAGCCTGTGCTTCGAGTGCGATCGTCGCCACCACCTCCTTCTCCTGTTTGCTCGCTCCCGCCCTCGGCCCCGTCCGCACCTCAAAAACACCGTCGCCTTGTTGACCCAACCTTTGCTCGAGCCCCCTGAAAGCTACTCCAATATACGGCCCAACACCCCGCGCGAGAAGCCTAGCGACTTCGATGGCCACTTGTGTGACGAGATGCTGGCAGACGGGGGAGGTCTTCCTCCATGATCCGATGCCTCAGCAAAGGCGATTTGCTGAGGGGTGGGCGAATGGGAAGAGACAAGAGGGAGAGCGAGAACGATCACTGTTGCTGCGCGCAACGGCTCGTCGTCGACAGGAGAGTCCACTGATGTTCTTTTCGGCCTTGCTGCAAGGATTTGCCGCGCCGATCGAGCTCGCGCGCTTGGGCCTCCCCTCTCCTGTTTCCCCTGCTTGAGGTCTCTCGCCTCGAAAAGTTGCACGAGCGGATACGTAAACCGTCCCATCGATTTCAATACAACCGACGAAAGATCATCACACCCTCAGGACCTCGCTCAAGCGGACTGCGCCTTCCTGAAAAGTTCTGCCACATCCGTTGCTGAAATGTCCAAGCCGACCTTGTCGTCCCGCAAGAAATCGTTGACCCGGTTAGCAACAATACTTACATCAACCAACAGTCAATCCTCCCCAAGACATTCCGAACCACACCTCTCCAACAAAGGCCCTCCACCCCCCTACGTCGAAACTTTCCCGCCAAATCCGGCTTTCCTGACGTCCTTGGCTCGCAAGTCGCCGAGCGCTCGGCGCTCGCCGGATGGCACCAAAGCAAAACAAAGCAAGGCAAGGCACGCCGAATGAAGGCCTGCTTTATTTGGCGGGGTCGTGCGCAGCAGTTGATCGAAGCCGGTGAAAACGTCCTGTGGGGTTCAGCAAAGATCAATGTATGGGTTAGTTCGATGGATTGCAGCGACAGCGGATAGACGAAGCAATGGGGCCCACCAGAACACAAGCCAAGGGCCAGCCCCATCGACCCCCCTTGATATCCTTCAACTTGCCAAAGTTGGCAAAATGCCGGCGTTGCCCCTCTTCGGAAAATGGTCTCGAGCACCCTCTAAGTGGCAAAAGTGATGGAGGCGTCGAGCGAGTTGACGTGGAGCAAGTCGGTCAGTCGACCGTTCGCGCGCCCGTTCGCGCGCCGGAGAGCCTTGCTGGCGCACTTCTGCCAATGGTGTAACCCTTCTGGTTGAAACGGTCGAAAGGCGGCTCTAAAGAAGCAGACTGGTAGAGATCAGCCATCGCACGACCAGGAAGACAGAGTGAACGCAAGGCAGACAAGGAAATGCACTCACTGAGCCACGATGTGGACCTCTGAAACACGTGAAGCATACTCCTTCTGGGGGACTAGTTCACCAACATCTTTCACCACGAGTACGAAGCCTCCGCCGTCCCAGCCATGATTCCGATAGAAGCGCGACCGACGACGCGAACGCAGCCGGGACGAGTTTGACAACGACAGGAACACGTTCGGTCCGGTGGGCGAGGCGACGACGACCTGCGGGCATATCCAGGTCTCGATGGACGCGATCACTCGGCTTTCCAAACCGTGCCCGTCCGACCGACCGTGCCCAAGCGAAGTGAGAAGATCGAGACGATCGAGCTTCGTCGCATCCGCGAGTTGCATGTCGAACCAGGGCAGAACTTCCGGGACCTCGTCGGCGGCCTCATGCAAATTGAATAGAATTGACATCGACCCAACAACCAAAGAACGACATCAGAAATGACGAAAAGTCGGGCTCACGTTGTTGCACTCGAGTACAAGGCCCATCGCGACCACGCACGACTGCGTGTTCGCCTCGGCATCACAAATAGCTTGTGCCAGTGTGCAGGAGTCCGAGGTATAAGAGTACACGCCTCGCGAGGTGCAGCAGCTACGACTTTGCACCATCCTTGCCCACGCCGCTTCGAAGAGCAGCCGGTGGCGGCGGATAGAACTCTGCTTCTCCCCAATCGATAATGAAAAGTCGACCATCCTCGCGCCGAAGAACATTGTTAGCGCGCTCATCCTGGTGAGAAAGCCCCTCTTTGCTGAGCAACTCGAAGGCAGCCCTGAAGGAGTCAGAGGAGCGAGGGTCAGCAATCGAGCATCCAGAGAGGACGAAATTGGAGGAAAAAATTATCTGACCGAGCCTCGTTGCCTTCGTCATCATCACCCGCGTCAAACTCCTTGTCCGTGATTGGCTGTCCGACATCTTCCATCACGAGCACGAAGCCTCCACCGTCCCAGCCACTCCGATAGAGACCGAAAAACTTGGGAATGTATGCTCGAGCTTCGGGAGACAGCCGAGGCACAGCCTGGGTGTAGATGAAGTACTCGCGAGCGACCGATGACGCGAACGCAGCCGGCACGACTTTGGCGACCACAGGAACGTCCTCGCTCCGGCGGGCGAGGCGCGATGACCTGCGGACATTTCCCGGCCCCGATCGACGCGACCACTTGGCTTTCCAAACCGTGGCAGTCAGACCACGCCCAAGCGGCGTGACGAGGTCGAGACGGTCGAGCTTCATCGCATCCGCGGGTGGTATATCGAGCCAGGGCAAGACTGGTGCGGTCTCTTGACATTCACAAAGATTGGCTTGACTGAGATCTGACCCGAAGAACTGGCACCGACAAAAGAATGAGAAAGTAACAACACGTCAGCACACTTTGTCAAGTCAAGCCAAGAGCGGAAGTCGCACCCACGTTGTCGCATTCGAGTTCGACGCCCATCGCGATCATACTCGAGTTTGTGTTTGTCTCGATATCACAAACGATCTGCCAAAGAGTTCAGGAGGTGCCCCAAATATAAGTGCATGGCTCAAGAAAGCGGAAGATGCAAATCGAGTACACACTTGGCTACCCGGACGGTGTCGCAAGCCAATCACGGTCTTGGCATCTTGAAGAAGAGGGACCACTGCATCGTCGAGCTTGGGCATCGGTCGAGGGCGGGCGAGGGCAGTGGAGCGATCGAGTTCCTCCGCGGCGGCATGCCATGCCCGCGTTTCGTCGTCCGAGGGGGCATCGATCCGATACTCGGGATGGTGGCTCATGAAGAGCGAGATAAAGATGCCAAAGAAAGGCTGGATCTTGGGTGCAGTCGCGCTCGGAGGGATGGCGGACATCGAACACACGTCGCTGACCGCAAGATGGGTCCTTCCCTCGAATTCAACTAGCGCAGGAGCCACCGTCCCAGAACCCAAGTCAGATCTCGAGTTCCCAGCGATGCCACCACCCCGCTTTGGAAACTCACCGAGCTCGGTCACAGCGAAAAAGGTCGCCCCCCAGAGCAGGCCGAACCGCCCGTTCACCGCACTATGGATATGCAGGGCCATCTGAAACAGCAAGTCAACTCACTAGCGCCAGTTTAGACTTCTGACACATGCCGTAGAGTCGCTCACCTTGACCGCAATCGCCAAGCCGTCATCCAATTTCAGTATTTGGTTGACGCCTCCTTTGACGAGGTGAATGTCGAGAACGTCGAGGTCCACATCCCCACTCCGAGAAGCTTGCTCAAAGATCGACTCAAGCGCCTGCTTTGATGTAGCGTCCATCGCGATTGTCGTCAACGGTTCGAAGCCTGTAGTGTGCATGGTCGACGCACTCCTCATCGCCCAGTTAAGATCGCCAGTTTGACCCATGGTTGAGCGCGGTTCTCTGGCGTCTATGACGAGGCGAGGATCTCCGTACAGCATCCTAACGATGGGGCGGATGAACTCTAATATGATCCTTTCGAGAGGGAAGGAATTGCCGTCTTCCTCGGCAAGTGCCGCAAAATCGTAGTTGTCCAAATACTTTTTCGCCGAATATTGCGTGTCCGGATCGAGGGGAGTGCTTGGTGACGTGGATGTTCGTTCAAGCCCTCGCTGTAGACCTCGGGTGACTCGATCGAGCAGGGTTGGATCCCGAACGGCAATCCCGAGATGTGGATCCTCCTCTCCAGGCATGCGGCAGAAAGTGACGTTCTTCATCGCCCACCCTGTTTCATCAGCAGTGGAGCCGTATGAACGAGGGAACGGCCTTGGGCGGATCGGCGGGGTGGGGACGTGGGGGAGCACGAGCTCGAAAATGTCTTGGAGTGTAGCCATAGAGGTCTCTGTGAAGGGCTCTGCAGGAGTTGTCATCTTGAGGAGGAACTTGTACGATGGGCCAGCTGTTCGGGGCGGGTTCGAGGTAGCTCTCGGCGAGTCAGATCTGTCTCTTAACGCTCCGAGTCGCTTCTCCCATCTCTCGGAATCTCGCGCCCACCGCCTCCTCTGACCTAGCTCCCCAGTTTTGTAGTTTCGCTTCGCTCTTCTCATCCTGTAAATCGTTTCTCGTCAAAGACCATACCCTTGCTTTCGTCCGTCGTCCTCTTTCTCTTGAGAAGTCCCCAGAACATATCTCGACTCCGACTCGATCGTCCCTGACTCCCTGGTGCATCTCGCCTCGTCTCGAGCCCTTTCGCCGGGCTCAATCTTCTCCGTGATATCAATATTCAACAAAAATGAACAAAAATCTAACTGGTGATTGTTTGAACGTAAGCCGTAGAGTCCATGCGCAAAAAGCGGCCGAGTTTCTCCCCTTAGGCTGCTGCTCAGGGAATGTATTTCCTCCCACGCGCGTACGTCTCTCCACCTTTTCCAAAAAATGGTCGCACAGCGCTCATCTTCCTCACTTTCTCCGCCTCTTGAATTCTTCCAAAAAAAGTGTCCGAGCTTGTATACCAACACACGATGATATCATAGTGCTACAACGAAAACGAGTGAGAACTCGGATATGAAAAGGGGAAAAAACGAACGACCAAAAACTGAGCCAACGAATGAAAAGTTCCCTCAACGAACGGATCCTACACCAGCCCCAACAGGACCGTCATCCCGACCACGACGCAAGCGATCGCCATCGCACCCCCTACGGCGACCTTCCGAGCGCCACTGAGCGGTGTCGAAACGACCGTGCCATCCGTATTCGGGTTCGACGGCGCCGAAGTCTGACCACCATTCGCCGCCGTGCTACTCGAGTTGCCAATCTGGGTCGCCGTATACGATACCCCATTCAACTTGGCCGCGTATTGGAATACGGAGCCGTTGCCTACGTCATAATAATCGACGAGCGTGAAAGTAGGGTAATACTTGTACTGGCTGAAGCAGGACGACGCTTGGGCGCCGAGCGAACCGGTGCCCGTTGCGGCGTTGGTTTGGTTCAGGGATGAAGTAGCGGGTACGGTGAACGTTTCACCGAGGAGGCTGACGTTGCGTCCGAGGAAGTGGTTCATCATGTACATCTTGTTCGAGTACGATCCGGTGACGCGGTCGACGGTGCAGGGGAACGACGTGCTCGTTTCCTTTTGAGACAAAAGCTCGCGATCGTCAGCCAAAGCATGACACACATAAAAGTCAGATCGTGTCGTTGTCCGTCTGCTCACATCGTACGGCGTCTCCCACACGTGGGTGAATTCGTCAATCAAATACGGCACGGCCTCGAAATCTGCGTTCTGAGCCAAGAAGCTGATCGCGCGTTTACCCGAAGCGATCAACGAGTTGTACGTCGGCCAACCGTCGTACGCGATGGGGACCGAGCTAGGCGTGTACGAGTAGTGGTCCATGCCCGAAGCGGCGTAGGACGCGGCCCAGGTCGAAGGGGCGATCGCGTCCGAGTTGACGAGCACGAGCGTGAGCACTTCGTTGGGGTTCGCGTCGAGCCAGGTCTTGACGAGGGTGAGGTAGGAGGTGAGCGTGCCGGCGTCGAGGAGGAAGCACGAGGTGTGGCAGAGGTGCAGGGATCCGTTGTTCATGTGACCTTGGACCTGTGGGCGTGGTCGATGGTTGAGCTCCGAGTACGGGAGTACGGGTCTATGCAGGTTGAGCGAACCGAACTGACCTGGAGTAAGCGGATGCCATTGTTGAGCTGGGTCGTGACGGAGTAGTTTTGGTTGGCGGCGACTGGGTTGATCAAGGTACGTAGTCGGTACGGTGCTCTCCTTTGCGATCACACCACCCAGGCCGTCACGTACCATTTCCAGCCGAAACACCATACGAGTTGTGGGTGCCGATGATGGAGACGTTGGAGTAGGACCTCGAGCAGAACTCGGAGTGGCCGTTACACACCGAAGCGGCCAAGGTCGAGCTGAAAGAATAGGGATGGCAACAGAGTCGCGCATGTCAGCCGTACTTGCCGAGCGTGTCTTTTCATGGCCGCGATGGACTGCAAAGACTCGGCACTCGCAGCTCGTCATCGTCATCGTCATCGTCATCGTCATCGTCGCCGTCGGCTGGCCAGTCCATCGACGCGTATCCTCGACCCCGACACCATCCAGCGGGGTGCACTGCACTGACCTGACAAGTGCTGCCCATGTCACGACACTGGCCCAGAGATGGAAGTGCATGGCCTAGTGAAAAGATGCGGTGACGGGGGCGAGGCCCGGATGTTCTGCGCCAAGCGGTACTGCGAGGAGCGCGCGCGCCCAAACAAGTCGGCGTCAACAACGTAAACAGAGCGCGTATATCTGGTAGCTCAAGTCGAACGTACAGCTGGTCAAGTCACTTGATCCAGAGTGGAAAAAACCAGGAGAGTTAACCGAGGGGTGTGTGTGCGTCGATGGCGAGTGCTGAACTGAAGCGGTGCAAGCGCAGCAGCCAACGGGACCCGGGTCGATCGCGCGCGCAAAGATGAGACCTTGACCGAGCTCGGCGACCAGACAGGCCGAGCCCAAGTATCTCTTGGTCGGTCGATGGTCCCGGGCAACTCAAAAAAAGGTAAATTCATTCATCGAGAGACAAATCAAGACTGACGTACTTGCCAGTACCCTAAACCGGTCCATCAGCTCGACTTGTCTTGCCATGTTCTCCGAACGCCGAGCTGTGGGTGCTCGCCAGGTCACGTGACCGACCCGCCCAAAGGCTCAACTCTCGCTACACATCCCTCCTCGGCGTCGCGCTAGAAGTATCCAAGAGCGGCACACCAAGACTTCGGAGTCAACCAAGCCGGAAACCTCTCGGTCTATACCACCTCGCTGGTCGATTCGGCCGGCTGTTTTTGGCCTCGGCTCGGGCTCGGACGATCCCGCGCTCGATCGGCCGATCGCCATCACTTTCGGCGAGTTTCGGCGTGGATCCTCCGCACGCTTCGCACTCCTCTCTTTCGCTCTTTCGCTCTTTCGCTCTTTCGCTCTTGGCGCTCACCCCTCTCCGCCGCCGCCTCGTCGCTCCTCCCAGCGATGACCTGGCAACCCTCGCCCGAAGAAGCCTGGTACTACACCCTCCCCTGCCCTTCGGACGACTACTCCCTCTCCGCGTGGATTTCGACCCTCCGTGGCCAAGATCGGTCTTACGGTCGTTCGCGTCTCCCACGTGCGCCGTTCGAACAACGTTTGCGCGAGGAGTACCCTACGAGGGATGGAAAGATTGCCTTGGGCAAGGGTGGGATTGATAAGCAGTGGGTGTGTTATCAGGTGTGGGATCCCAAGCAGGGGACGGGGAATGAGAAAGGTGAGCGTGAGCACGTGTCTGGGTGATCCGACTCCCTGCCCGAGACTGACGTACCCATCACTACATCGCAGACCTCGTTCTGCTTCACGGTATCAATGACTATGGAGGAAAATTTGCGATGCATGCGAGAAAGTTCCTCGATGAAGGCGTCAGTCCCACAGTTCCACTTCTCCAGGCCGGCGCCACGGGCAATCCCGAGCCTCGGCGACGACTCGCGGAGTGGACCATCCAGAAGAGTCCCCCCACGCTGACCACCTCCTACCTCCTGATCAATTTTGCCACAGTACCGCGTCATCGTCCCCGACATGCCTTCGCACGGCCGGTCCTCCGGTCTGCACTGCCATCTCCCCAACATTGAACTGCTCGCCGACGCCGTCTACCTCGTCCTCGCCGATGTCCTCCTGCACGACTCCAAATCCGTCACCCCTCCCAACCCCTCCACGTCCGAAACCTCTTCCTCAACCTTCACCCAATCGCGCAAACTCTTCATCGCCGGCCAATCCATGGGCGGCTACGCCGCCGTACTCACCTGTCTCAAATACGGTTCCACCTCCGTCTCTTCGCTCTCCCCTCGTCCTACCGTACGCTACCACCCCAAAATCAGCGGTGGTCTGTTCCTGTGTCCGATGCTCGAAATAGTTTCCACCTCGCGCCCTTCCTACGCTCTCGAATGGATCGCGCGAGCGCTCGCTTCGATCGCCGGTCCTTTACCGTTCGCCTCCGCGAACAAGGGTAAGAATTCCGAAGACCCTACGATCGAGATCGAATTCAACGCCGATCCTCAAACCTACCACGGTAAACTTCGCATCGCGACCGGTCTCTCGATCCTTCAAGGTATGAATCACCTCTCGACGATCTTGTCCTCGCTCGAGGTGCCGTTCAAGATCTTCCACGGTACGAGCGATCGCGTGACGTGTCCCTCTGGCTCGAAGAAGTTGTTCGAGCAAGCGCGTTCGCAGGATAAGGAACTGCAGTGGTACGAAGGGTACGAACACGTGTTGTTGAGGAAGGGCAAGGACGAAAAGGACGATGAGAGGAGGCAGAGGGTGTTGGGGGATATGCTCGAGTGGTTGGAGAGGCATTAATGCGCGGCCGCCAGAACTCTTTTTTTCGTGCGCGCGAGGCCCCTTTTTGTGAATAAGTTTTTTTTTGGAATTTAGATGGCGTTTTTTTTGGTTTTTTTTTAGATGTCTTGGTCGTAGATGATTCATGGCATAGAAGCAAACTTTGATTCGGTTCGATTGGTTGGTGGTTGGAGGGTCATAAAGAACATTGGCATGCCAAGAAGAAAGGAAAAGGAAAAGAGAGAGAAAGAAAGAAAAAAAAAACGCTGGACAAAAGCCAGAGAACAAACCCACCGCACAAAGAAAAAGATCGTACCTCGGTCGTCTGCGATATCCCGAACCCCAACATTTACTCACCCCCCCCGCTTCCCGCGCTCCTTTAAGCAAGCGCACCGATGATCAAATTCGCCGCTGGTTCCTTCTCTGCCCTCACCGCCAATTCCATCGTGACCCCTTTCCCACTCTGGTACGTCATCCTGGCCCTGACCAAAACCTTGCCACCTCCACCGGCAACGATACCGGCCAATTGCAACGTATGCACGCTCGTCGAACTCGGCACTTCGGTCCCTCCCAGAGGTTCGAGGTTGAAGACTTCGACCAACGAGTCGCACGCGGCCTTGAGCGAATCCAACGCCGTCAAAGCAAACGTCTCGGTCCTGTTCGCGGCGGTCCTTAATCGATCCCACTCGGTCTGGAACGCCGCGTACGAAGGGATCAGGTAATCGCCGGCGTCCAAGTCGACTTCCTCGATCTGGTACTCGTCGTCGTAGCCTTCGTCCTCGGGTTCGCCCGATTCGGGGTCGAACTCCTTTGAAACGAAGCGCAGCGCGTTCGCGAAGGTCCCGATGGCGTATTCGTTCGGGTCCGATCGGGTAAAGGAGACGTAAACGACACCTGAAGAGGAAGGCGCCAGCGAAGGAATGGGGATGATAAAGTCCTCGGTCAAGGGTGTCTCCGGTGTGGGCGTCATCAAAACGGACACGCGCTCCAAGACGACCGCATCGACCGTGTTCCGGATATTGAACTGGAAGACGACATGTTCGGCAAAGAGGTGCTTGACGCAAGTGACGACGTACTCGGTCTCTCGTTCGGTCAACTCCAGCGGCTTCGCGCTGCTCCTCAGAACCGGACCATAACCCGTCAACTCGGGGATCTCGGCCAATTGACTCGCGTACATCGATTGCGACTCCGCGGCCGTCGCCGGTTGACCATTCGCACCACCACCACCATGCGCATCCCCACCATTCGACTCGATCCTCGCCGACCCAGTCGCGACGATCGAAAGTGCGTCGGACTGTGCACGCAACGCGGCCTGCAACGACTGCGTTTTCGAAACCTTGGGGATCGTCGCCAGGTCGAACGGTGCCGAGGACGCATCGGGGTCCGCGACGTATTGCTGTAATTGGGCCTCGAGCGCCTCGAGGGAAAAGGTCGAGTCGTCGCGCACGAACGTGGTCGCGAGCGGGTCGTCCTTCATCAACTTGAGGTTGAACGCGGCGCGATCCCTCACCTCGTCATCGACGTCATCGAGGCACCTCGTCAACAACACCTCGACGCTCTTCTTGACCGAGGGGTCCGCGACGTTGACGCCAAACTTGGCGAGCGACGAAACGGCGGCCGCACGCACGATCGCGTTCTCGAGGATGACGCGGTTGTAGATGTACCGAATGTATTTGCTCGGTTGCGGCGTCTTGGGGCCCTCGACACCAAGCAAGTGCAAGATCCTGACCGAGAGCTTGGTGAACTCGCAATCCTCGATGAACTCGCACAGTTGAGCAAGCGCGGCCTCTTTGCTATCGCCGATGAACTTGATCATGTCAAAGATGGCCTCGACGACCGCGCGCTTGAACTCGTATCCTCCTTCATCACGCAACACCCCCGAAAGGAACGTCAACATTGTCGATTGCTTGGCCGGGAACTTGAGGCACAACGAACGGATCGCATTGACGACGATGACCTTGAACTCGTCCGAGATCTCGGACATGAACGCCGAGATCTGCTTCATCAGCCGATCGACCGAGGCCTCGTTACCGGTCTTGAGCAAGGTCGTGATCGCGAACGTTGCCACGCTACGGTTCTCGTCGTTGATGAGCTTCTCCATGTCGAGGTTGCACGTCTGCACGGCGCCGGGGTGGGTTTGCGCGAGTTGGGCGAGCGTGCGCATCGCGGCGAATTTGAGCGTCGCTTTGGGAGAGGTCAAAAAGAGTTGCAGGACTGCGAGGCCAGGTTTGAAGTCAGTATACATCCCAAGACCCCGTGTCGGCGGTCTGGTCCTATGCGACTCACCAGCAATAGGTCGGAAGAGTTCGGCGGCGGTGACGTTGTGCATCTCGCAAATCGCGCGCGCGGCTTCGTAGTTGATCATGTCACTTTTATGTTTGAGGTAACCGTCCAAGAGCTCGTACATTTGTCGGTGCACACTATGAGGTGGAGACCACATCCCCACAATCAGCGTCCCCGAACGCTGCGAAGAAAGACGCTCCGAGGGACGGATCCTAAGCGTTATCCACTCACTTGGGGTCCTCCTCCATCACCTTCGCGGCGAAACGAATGAGCATGCAAATCGCATATGGACTCCTCAGACTGCCGCCGCCGGAACCCTTGTTCGCCGAAAGCTGTTGGATCATCTTGATCGTCGCCATCCGGTCCCCCTGTCGAATGAGGTACAACAACCCAAGCGCATGGTACTGCGTGATCGCCGACGCACTCTGCACGGCCTGATAGCCCGCCTGTCCTGCTCCGCCGTACGCTCCACCCGAGTTCCCCTTGTTGTTGATGGCTTCTTGGGCTTCGTTGGCCCATCGTTTGACGACGTCGCGCGCGACGGGGTGGAGGTGGTACGCCGAGACGAGCGCGGCCGAGGCGATCGACGAGTTGCGGTCGACGATCGCGGCTTTGAAGAAGCGCTCGACCCCGACGATCATGGAGCCCTGTGTGGGTTGTGCCAAGACGCGAGGGGGAGAGGGGGCATCAGCACCGGTGCGGACGAATGAAATTAATGGGGAAAGCGCGTGGCTCGTGGCGAGGTGAACTGACGTCGATGATCCTGCACAGAGCCCTGATCGCGTTGGGTCGGTAGATGACCTCGAGGTTGGGCTGCATGTCCTTCATGATGGACGAGGTGACCATGATGACGTCCTCTGCGATGCCAGACAGTTCCTTGATGACGAGGTAGACCATTTGTCGGAGCGCGCTCTGTTGGGTCGTGGACCCGGAAGGAATGGCGCGTGCGGAGAAAGTCTCGTTGTCAGTACAAGGATACTGTATGTGACGGACTTGAATTGTCGCGCGCCAGCCGTGCTCTCGCTCTTATCGACAGCATAGCACCCGCAGCGACTGATCACGCCTCGCCGAGCACGTCGACGGTGACCCCTCTTCGAACGCGATCGACCCGGGCCGACGCCCAACTCACATCCTTGTGCTGGAACAGCTTGGTGACGCCAAAGAACAAGGTGGTCGCCTCCTGGCTGCCAAAGGTCTCTCCGACATTGAGGAGGTAGACGATCTTGGTCAACAGGATACGGCACTTGCGCGGGGAGATGGGTGTCTCGTTGAAGACGCGCGCTTCTTGGATCACGGTCTGTGCGAGTGTGGTGACGATGCGATGAGGTGGGTGTTAGTTGCGGTGTGGTGTGCGATGCGGATGGGCGAGGAAGGGCGCGCTGCTGCTGGGGCGAAGCTGACAGCGGACACGCGGCGTTGCTGACTGCCTCGTCGTCTGGGCTGGCACCGGCGGGCGGGGTGTGGATTGGGATGGATGGGTGACACGACGACAGCGCTCACGACCGACGACCGACGACCGACCATAGCGACCATATAGCCACCCTACCACATCACCAGCCACGCCCTACGCGGCACCCTTCCGAAGAACCACTCACCGTCTTGTCCTGGAAGAATTGGCCCACGCCACTCTCTTCATCCTTCTTGTACGCCGACATGGTATAGCCGCTGTTCCTTCTGCTGGGACGGGGTGTCGCTCAAGCTCGTCCTGTCACGTCAAGCTATACGGCAAGTCGGGGGTCAAGGCCGTCCGTTCTAGCGTGTCGGACAAGGGAGCCAACGAGGAGATGCCGAGCAAGTCGAGCGCTTGGAACAGGAACGAGTCGGGGAACTGTGACGGTGATGAACAATCGAGCCGGTCGAGAGAGGAGGAGGCGCGTGGCTCCGGCGCGCGCGCGTCTCCGTTTCAAATCAAAACAGGTTTGTATTGGCGGGTAGACATCTTGGAGGCTTCGTTAGCTTTTTTCTGACTTCACCGCCGAACGCTGAGACCGAGTGTGTACATTCATCAAAGCGGGCGAGATGAGAACTACGCGCACAGATCATGTAATAAAACAATTCGTAATCGTACAATTATCGAACATCGTTACCCAAGTCTTCGAAAGCAGTGTCCAATGATTTGTCTCGATCGTTAGTCGTGCGCGCCGTCGTCGTCATGAAAATTGTGCAAAAGTCGTCTCTTCTTTTCCCTTCGCTTCATCTATACAAAACCCCCGCTCCACCAATCAACACCAACGCGATCGTCACCGGCAAAGCGATCACCAAAGGATGCGAAAGATGTTTGGTCACCATCGCCGCCGAACAAGTGACGCATGTCCAACCTATGCCGACCACAAAGTGTAGAGAACCCGTTCCATCAGCTCTATTCGCTCGGTCATCCCCCACCGCGATCATTCCATGTCACTAACCACTCGCAAGCGGAGTATAAGCCGCGGGTGAATACAACGCAAAATAAACGACCGATTGCGCGCCATTGAAGTAGCCTCCCGTCGCAGCGGCGTTGATCCCTCGTTCGTCATAGACGCGTAAAGTGTAAGAAGCTTGCGCAAACGGGATCGCACCGGCTGATTGTACGTAGCTGTTGAGGCAAGGGAAAAAAAAATGACATCAAATCAAAGATCGTTCGAGGTCAAGGGGTTGAACCGAGTTGAGACTTACGCGTACGGATCCCAAACGAGCGAAGTCTGCGACGCCGGGATCCCCGTGGTCGGACCAACGGGATACGTGAACGAATTGGCCGTACACCTCGCTTCGAAAGTCAACGATGCGGGTGTGACGCTGCAAAAAGGACATTAAGAATATTTGGGTGTCAATACTTTACTCGTCTCGAGTCGGGTCCGGATCGTTCCCGGAATGACCGGACTGACTAGAGCGACGTATAGGTCCAAGCAAAGGTGATGAGTTGGCCACTCGCGATCTTGTAGTACGATACCGCATCGGTCGCCGCAGGTTGAAGATACGACAGTCCCCCGGCACTGTAGTTCGTCAAGACCATTCAAGATCAGTATCCTCCGTAGAGACCGACCTCTGTCGCGGCTCGTCGTCCCCGCTTGGTCCCCCCTTTCTTCCCCCCCTGCGCTCGGAGTCCGTCCGTTCCGTTCGCCGAGATCGCAAGACCGAGAAACTCACGCCGCAGTCGCAGGAATCAAAACACTACTTGTGGTCGTCATCGTCGTCGTCGTCGAGTTCATCACAGCCGTAGTCGAGACATTCGTCTGGGCCTGTCGTTTATGGACGCCCAAAGCGCGAGGCGTTATTGTCGGCAAGGAGGAAGAGGCTGAGGTGCTGGTGGTCCCTTTCACTAAGATCGGTGGTGGCAGTGCTACGTCGTGCCGAACGTCACCTCGATCGTAGATGAGCTGCTGAAGGTCCACCGCACCTACGACCTCCCCACGTGGTACTCTGTGTGCTGCAACACCTCCCAACCAGCAGTAGAAGAGTATGGTCGCCGTCCTCATTCTCCTTCGTAAATTCGAGATGTGGTGACGAGAGTCGTGTCGAACGAAAGAAAGACGGTTCCCACTCGCGCGAGCGCGCGTCGGTCGTCCGGTCGTCCGGTCGTCGTCGTCGTGCGAGCGGTGTGTCATGTCCAACTCGAACTTTAACGCGGCGTCCGTTTCGCCGTAACAAGCGCGCGCTCTGCGAAGTCGGGATCACCAAAAACGCGCGCGACATCAGCAGTTGCTAATGCTGAATTGAAAAGGCGCGCGCCTTGGGTCCATGCGCTTGCAGGCGCTTGCCCAAGCCCAAGCCGTGCCCCAAGCTCACGCTCCGCTAAGCTCGAACCTCGCTTCGGACTGTCACTTCAAGTTGCTTTTGGACTCGGTCGATCCCCTCAGTTTCCGCCTCCAACGGTCGATTGTGATCATCTGTGCTTGGCGATTCTAGACACTGTTGGGCCACCCCAAGTCGATCTCGTCACCGCCAGATCGAGTTGGTCGTACGCTTGAAGCGCACTGGCATACTCGAGCTCGCCCACGAGCTCCTGACGACCGGGCCACAGGCCTCCAGTACGACCAGCCCTAACCCGTCGTCTGCGTGTCCGATCTCGACCGATTGGTTCTAGTCCTACTCCGAGTCGACATCATCGGCCGCTGATTCGTCCAGGCCTGCCTCGACGCGCCGAGTCGTCGAGCGTGATCGGATCGAGGGAGCTCAACGGCCGCCAACGCCTCAGCGAAGCCCCCGACCGAGTGGATGTAAGCCCTCGATCGACCATCTCAGACACGAGATAAGGTGCGTATGTGCTGCAAAAGCTTATCGCTGACATCTTGCTGCGCGTCTACGCTCTCGATCGGGTCTTGCAGTCGATTTCGCTTCCCTTGCCGGGTGCCGTCGCCAGCTCGCGAGCGACGAGATCGTCATCGGGACGAAGGAGCAACACGTGAAACCGGCGCTGCTCGAGGGCCGTGACCACGATTGGCCGAGATTCGCCCCTACTTCCAGACGATCGTCTCGTCAGCAACTGTATCCACTACAGCCCCCACACTGGAACGATGGGGAACGCCAACTCGTCAGAACAGCAGCAGCAGCAACGTGTTTCGCAGACGGGCAGCGCCCCGTCGACTTCAACGGGCGCTGAGCGGAGGAGGCACGCCCAATCCAGCAACAACAGTAGTGCCGCACCTTCGCCTCGTCTTCGCACCCACACCTTGCCCCCAACGACCTCGGTAGCACCAACGACCACGACCACCACAGCCCATGCCGAGCCCTCGTCGTCATCCGCGAGTGCCGTCGCGCATTCATCTTCGGTCGCAGCAGCAGCAGCAGCAGCAGCTTCGGCCGCTTCGTCCGCGAATACGACGATCGATGACGACTCGAGCACGACAAGATCGGGTCGGACATCCGAACCGGGTCGCCGCAAGAAGAGCATCGAGCTGTCAGACGTCGATCCGTCGCTGACCTTCTCGTCACGAGCACCCTCGCTCGCACGAGGCGTGCGACGAAAGACGAACGATCGCATCCATGGCGACATCATCATCGCCCCCGAAGACGTCGACGTCGACGATCCCGAGCCTCTAGGGTCAGGGACATTGCGAGGTGCGATGCAGGGCAAAGCAGAACATGTCGTCTACGGTCCTCGAAGGTCCGCACCACCAGAATCACCGATGACATTGACGCCGACGACCGAGCTCGCCTCTCGACCGCAGGCGATCGATCTCCCGACACCGGACATCACTGCGACCCTCGTGGACCCCGATGACACCGTGCATCCCGGATTCGCGGCCTCGCCTCGTCTCACCGCGGCCGTCATCCTCTCGCAGGACCAGATGCCCGTCCTCGTCTCTCCCATCAGCGAAGTCGCCCCCACCGACTCCCCACTGTACGGCGCCGGCAGCACACCCTCGTCGCAGACCAGTTCCGGCAAGTCCTCCATCGTTCCGCGCTCACTCTCCTCCGTCCTCTCTTCTGTGTCGGCCCCGTCGACGATTGCTTTGGCCGCCGCAGGACGACTACCGACATCGAAGCTCGGTGCCACTTCGGCTCTTGCACCGATCCCGGCTTCGCAATTGCAAACCCCTCACACCGCCCCACCGATGCACACCAACATAGCGCCGACCGACACCGTTCAGGCACCGCCCATTCCTTCGAATCACCTCCCCATCTCGGAAGCCGACATTCCCTCGGGAACGAGCGTCATCGCGTCCCCCGTCGTCACACCCGTTCCCGGAGGCACACCAACGGGGGCGATCGTCTCACCCGCCGTTCTCCTTCCCCCTCGACTCCTTAATGCACCCGTCGCCGCGATCCCGATCCCACTGCTCAGTGTGCCCTCGGCAACGATCGCTGCAAGCCTTCTCGCAGCCGCCGTCGATCTCGGAGCCGGAACCGAAGGAGTTCCGACCTTGATCAAATGGAAGGACGAAGATGGTCAGGTGCCCGCTTCGTCGGACGGGAAACGACCTGCGCAGGGTCCGTCGGAGGTTTACGTCACGGGCACGTTCGCGAAGGGGTGGCAGACCAAGATCGAGCTACGCAAGGCCAAGTGAGTGCTGAACGCCGATCAGGGGATCTTAGATAGTGTCTTGCTGATTTTTGCTCGCTTCTGGGTCCAACTCCATCAGTGCTGCGGATTTCTCCGCGCTCATCTCGCTTCCTCCCGGACCTCACCGACTCAAGTTCATCGTCGACAAGGAGTGGAAGGCGTCCAAGAACCTACCCGTCGCCACCGACGCCGACGGGAACTTGATCAACTACCTCCACGTCAACGCCGCCGACTCAAAACTCGCAACAGAACTGTGGAAAGCTTCGGGCACAGGGTCGACCGCACCAACGACTCGAACGCAGCCTTCTGTATCGGCACCAAACTCGACATCACTCTGGCCCACGTTCGGCGACGAAGACGATGCCGAAGCCCCCGGAGTGGACGGTGGAGTGGACGGTCTCGACGACTCGGAATGGACCTCCGAAATACCATACGAACTCGTCGAATACGGGGAATGGGAAGCCGAACGCGACGCGATCGAGAACTCGTCCGCCTTCTTGAATCCTCCCCCCAACTCCCCACCCATCGTCCTCCCTCCACCTCCCGCTGTATCTGGAGTTCCTCCCCCAAGTCTTCCTGCGCAATTGGAGAAGGGTCCATTGAACCATGCCGCGTACGTGACACAGGGGAGCGGCGACGATAATTCCATCTTGCCGAAACCGGATCATTCGGTTATCAATCACTTGGCTGCGAGTCCGATCAAAGGTGGTTTCCTGAGTGTCGGTGTGACGACGAGGTATAAACGCAAGGTGAGTTCACTTTTAATCTCCCTCGTATCTCTACCGAAATGGTTTCGCTGACGCTCCGCTTGTTTTCTTGACACCGACAGTTCGTCACAATCGTCTACTATAAAGCCCTCGCCGCACGCACATGAAGCTTCTCCTACCTCCCTGTTCTCCCCACTTTGTTTCCTTTTGTTGATCTGCACCCTCTCCTACGTATATATATATATAGAACTCTCCAATTAGACCACCCCTGTACCTTTATCTTTGTTTTGCCGTCTCTTCTTCTCGGGCCTTGTGGAGGTGCAGGCCGAGTTGCGACGCATGCTGGAAGCGGCGCAGCGACTTGCCAATTATGGCGGTATTCTGGGTCGTTACCACAAATTACTGGACTGCAGTAGTATATAGATATCTCATTGCCCCCAATTGAATACCCATTTAATCGGCACAAGCTGCGCATCCCGTGTGTTTCGAGTTTCAGCAAGCAGTCACATCAGGATGCTGCGATCTTTGCCTTTTCCAAATTCTAGAAGTTGAAGCGATTATTAACTACGCACCGCGGGCCCGCGGCGACGATTCCCTGAACCTCTGGCTCAGTACCAATCAAACCACAACGGAAAAAGCTTCAAATACCAAAGTACATCCCTTCGCGAATCCCTTTATTTGTTACAGATATACGATCCACGGTCATAGGCTCCGAGTCGTCGAAAGCGTCGAGGCAAGTCAATTTCAAATCCTCCGAATTATCAGTTAGGCGATCAGTTCTCCTGATAAGTTAGGCTATCAGTTCGACCAATTCACTTAGTAGCGCTATCTAATATCATGATATACACCTTAGGGATAGTTGGTAAAAGTGTTTGGGCTTTGGGGCGAATTTCCCCACGACACGACGACACGGCCCCGCGAAGAAATCGGTGGGGCAGCGAAAGCAAGGGGAGGGAAAACCGGGAGGGAAGGCAAAAGAATTCAGATCGGCAGGTCAGTTAACCCAGCCAAATGAGCTCCCCCGCGCGGGCGAGTTAAGGCAGCTTTTCTGTTTTTTTGGCCCGGTTGGAGGTTGGTACAGGTTGGGTGCACCAATGCCCTCCCCACCCCGTCCCACCCCGGCTCAGTGCACCCCAAATGGTCATAAGTAATAAAGGGCTACTAGTTCGTGTAAGACTCACCATCATCACGAATAACACTTTCCGAAGACTTGTAAGTTCGAATTATGTCATAAATGTCATACAGCTTGTCGTACTCAGTCCATTCAATTCGTGTAGTTCCATATACCATCAACTGATATGTGTACGACAGATTCTGTGTAGACCTTTTCGTCCTGTTTTAATCTTAGTTTGGATACGACCGAGGGAGTACACACCGTGTCTATGATTGGGCCCGAGGGAGGGATCGGTCCTGGTCCCTGGAATCCTGGATCGGTCCTCGAGCAGACAAACGCTTATTCTGAACGGTGTGCACTGTGTATAGAAAATAGATATCTAGTGAAGCCCCTTCGGACGGTCGACTTGGATCCAGCGGCAATCAGTCCTGCATCAATTCCCAGAGAGTAATTGAACAGGCAAAATTGAGGCGGGGCTGTGCCTGGCTGTGCGGCCGCACGCGGAGCTCAGATTGGCGAGCGCTCTGCGTGAACACGTTGACCTCTGCACACTCACGTCAACGCGACAACGCGCACCCTTGACCCACGCCACGCCCCGCATCTCAATACGTTGAAACCTCCCTGCGCCTGTTGAACGAACATCGATGCTATTGCCGAATGGAGGTATGTGGACGCGTTTCCCCGCCTCACATCCCCCTTCATGGGCCTAATTGTGTTGCTCCACCATGACGCGACCGTCAGACATACGCGTGGGATCTAGGCAAGGTTCTCCAGCAGAGTCCATTTCCTTTGGCGCTCATCCGAGTGAGTGCTCTTGTCTGGTGTGCCAACTAAGATCCCTTGTAGCAGGGCTGAGAGCAGAGTGCCGGTCATCGACCTCATCCTTCTATCTACTCAATCCTGCCGGACAGCTGAAGAATTCTCTGTTCTCTCACACCTCTTGCAGGTCGGAGGGACGATCAAAGCGGTCGAGCATCCTCACAAGCCAGCACAACTCTGGATGAACCGTCTCCACGCCCGACTCGGAAGAGAAAGCGGCGCATGCCCGTGCCCCAAACCCCTTCGTCCGACTCCGACTCTGACGAGCCCAATTGGGGCGATTCCAGTCACTCCTCGGCTGACGACAGCGACAGTTACAGTGACAGTAAGAGCGAGTTTGAAGATGTCGCGATCGACCATCGAAGAGCTATCAGGCTCTGGACGGCCATACATGGCTCGCATCGGAACGCGACCGGTCGTATGAGTCAAAGAAAGTGGACCTCGCTGAAGCACTGGGCCGCTCGAAGATATTACTCGGAGCTCAAGATGGCCGCGAAACTCGGCATATCCCATGCAAGGCTCGTTCAGGCCGTCAAAAAGTTCAACAGCCTCGCTTCGAAGGGCAATGCGTGGTCTAGATTTCTCTCGGACCCTGTAGTCAAGGTTTTACACCAGCGAGCAAGCAAGGGTGAGTCGGTCCTCCGGGCGCTTCCGGTCATGCCCACTCCACTCTCCTACGCTCTCGCTTATGCTTACCGCTGCGTCCGCAATATCTGTTCTTACATACCCTGGGTGTGTCAAACGTGTTCAGAATCGGATCATTCGAAATCGCAATCCATCACCAAACTTGCCGCTCAACTCTGGAACTTCCTGAGAGACCAGGGGGACCTCGGATCTGCCCAACTTGGCGAGGACGATGAAGAGCTTGTTCGCGCGGCTTTTGCAGCGGCAGAGGCAGGAAATAATACGACTTTCACTTCGATAGTACCACCCACCATCATCACACGGTCGCCATCCGACATTCCTTCCCCAACTCGGATGGAGCAATGCAAAAAGTACATTGCAGAATTGCGAGACCTGGCGCAACGCATGTCCAAGCTGTACGGAGTGGAAACCCTGGCCTTCATTGTCCCTCGTTATCAAGACGACGTATCGCCAGCGACGAAGGCAACCGTGCATTCGATAGGTGGGCTCAGATTTGCAGCTCACTGCAACGACTTCAAGGATCCATCCGGCAATTCCTTGTTGTCTAATTTTGCTTCCAAGATGAGCTGGGATGAGACACTCAAGGCCAATGAAGCGACAGATCTGAAAGAGGGTGAGCTTTTCATCGCAGATTATGCGCGCATGAGACCACGTTACCGTTACCAATTATGTGACATATGTTTTCGTCTCATCTATCAGCAAACACTCGCTCGATGGACAGTGCTACTCGCGGCGTTCTTGGCAAATGGCACGGCATTCTGTTCCGCGCCCAACTCAGTAAGTAGTCTGCATCTGATCGGGCTCGACTCCGTGCTAATCATTTCCGCCTTTACAGACTCTGCTCTCGAGACTATACATCGCCGTTCCGACACGGGATCATCGACAGGCGATTTCACACCTCAGAAGAAGATGATATGGTCTACCCAGGGCTTGAAGGCACTGGGTGTCAAATTGCGGATCAAGCCCGGAACGAAGAGTAGATACGAAATGGCTCTGCATCATAGTGCAGAGACATCGCCCAAGCAAACCGTTGCTCAGCTCAAGGCTATCATTGACGACCTCCGTCACGGCCACCTCGCTATCGTACCCTCGGTGGACCCGAACGACAATACGGAGGCAGAGGCAAGCGACGATGACTCGAATGGCGGAGAAGGACCCCTGAGCCCAAGATTTGGTGGAGCCGGGGACGAAGGCGGAGAGGTACGCGGCGGAGAAAAAAGCGGAGAAGAAGATAGAGAAAGAAATACCGAGGGGGTGGCGGAGGAGACCGGAGGATGAATGAAGCAAAACATCGTCGATGGATTGAGACTGTTCTTATGTCTTTCTTTGGGCATATTATGCTCTGAGTCGGTCTGCAAGATGACCGATATTTGTTATGTCTCTGTGGTTTGTGGCGCGTCTTTCAGTGTAGATCCTTCAGTTTAGTTTCAGATGATTGTCATACACGCATACAGCGTCTCAGCTGCCATCTTGACTGCCATCTTGATTGTGGCGATTAATCTTAACAGGATTGTAAATTAACATGATCAAAATGCTCATTCTGTCAGGCTCTGCCAAGATCACTGGGCATATTCATCCCCCCCACGGCCCCCCGGGACTGTTTCTTACGTCACGGCCCGGGGGCCCCTGTGTGCTCCGGGCGCCGGAACCTGACCAAGTCAGCGGCCGGCATCCCGTTCATCTACGGCCCCCCTTCCAGAGATTAGGCTGGAGTCTTCCTTCGCAACCAATGGTCCCGCACCTTTGTCCTACAAGGACTCGGGGCGCACCGCATGGGCCGCAGCACAACGGTGTGGCGCTCGCATCCAGGTAAGGCGACATCTCTGCGCATCTATTTACCCTTGGGTCAACGAAATTAGAATGGCTCTCGGGCCGACGCATCTCCTCTTTCTTCTTCTTCTTCTTCTGAACTTGTGATATACAACCAAATGGCCATACACCTTTTCCAACTTCGACCTCATCGCCGTTTCTTGCGCCTCCCGTTTCAAACACACTTGGGATCCAATCCCTCCTAATCATTCCTCATATCCATGCTTCGTCCGAAGGCGCCGTACTATTGACCGTGTCTCGTTGCATAAGTCTGTTTGACCTTTTGGCCTACCATTGTCTTGTTCCCTTAGATACAATCTGACTTCACCTTCTGGTCGGACCGGTTGCCACTGCATAACTCTCAACTGCCTGCGCGCCGCAAAACCGGACGGTGGATAACTGTGAGGTCATTCGTTGGGACTGCAATACAGGGGTCAGACGACAGCTCGACCTCTCCTTTCATGTCCCATCCTGAATTCACCCATCGTCGCAACTATAAGACCCAACTGAAGACCAAGAAGACGACCGTCACAGTGATGACAAGACGGTATCTCCCGTCGAAAAGAACTTTGAAAACACCCTCCCGGTATGGGTACTTTCAGTCTGACTCCAACACGACGTGTTGTCCACCTTGAGTTTGAACCCTGATTGGTATCACAAAAGACTATATGACCTGCCATCACCGAAAACCACGGCGGGGCAGTCGGTCGGTCGATATTAGAAGGAGGCCCAGGCCACAACAGCGTGCAGAACTCTCAAGCCGCCTAATGCGATGAGAAA